TGTGCTTCAGACAAAAGTGTAGTGCCTGTTACGTATTATGTGCGGTGTAACGCACAAGTATATGGGCAAATTGTTTTTTTCAATGTGTTATCAATTAGGGAAGTTGATTTCACGAGACAAATTTCATAGGACATTGAGAAAACAAAAATTTTAAGCGGATGATGAAAGTGAATTCCTGAAAGTGCATGACTCTGGTTTCTGTGAAATTACCTTTTTTTCCCTCCATAATCCTAATCCTAATCCTAATCGTCTTTCCTTCCTAAATCTAAATTTTCTTGGAATGCTTCAGAATATCTGGACTTGATCTCAGAAGATAATCTGAGAACAAGTATTTACAGGATTGGAGAATTTCAGCAAATGATAAACACATTTAAATTTTTACCAACCCCGGATGGAAGCTTCTAGATTTCTAGGTTTTAGAAGACATAGGGCCATGAAAGAAAATGTTGACATTTATTTAAACAGGAGGAATGAATGAGAACAGGACCTACAGTTGGGCCTTTCCTCTTAGGTTCTTACAAAGTTAGAAGGCAGGGGCTGTAACCGAGACCCCAGAGAAGAAAGGCCAGCACACAGGGGAGTATTGAGACCATAACCTACACATCAGATGTCCTCTCACACTCTCACTGTGTTAGAAGCTAAAGCATTTGTGTGAGATTCCAGGGAGCAAAGGCTGCTAGAGGAGACATCACATCAAGATGAGAACATTTCTGATCAAGGCAAAGACAGTCTGCCCGAAGTCATGGACTTCCTGCCCGAGCCACAGCCCCTGACCTCTGCTCTTCTGAACCCTTGGCTTTCCTCCTGTGACATCTGCTGCCTGTTTGCTGTGCTCCTAATACCCACAAGTGGGTCATCTCACTGCCCACAGAGACCTGTTCTCATGAGTCCTCTCAGATGCCCCTGCTGACCAGCATTTCAAAGGCAGCATGATGAAATGTTGCTTCCTGTGATAAAAACACTGTTTGCTTCCTTCTGATACACAGGCAATGATCTGTTGAATATATAGAGTGAGCATGTAGCAGAGAAGAAACTTTATCTGATTAGACTAGGGAAGGAGTGTTTTTAAGAACAGTGGAACAATCTCTAACATAGGAAGTTGCCTCTGATAAGGGAAACCCAAGAGATACAGTGGAGCAGCTTCCTGACAACACAGATAGCAAAAGGCCTCTTAAGGAGGACTAGAAGTTGTATTTTTGAATGAAAGCCATTTCATGCTAACAAGGACCCCTGACTTCTACCTCCTGTCAATAGATTCACCAGGAAAATGGTGATAGACACATTGTTATCAGCTATTAGTAACCTACTGCTGTGTAACAAATGACTAAAATTTGGTAGCCTAACCTATAAACACTCCTTATCTCACACATTTTTTTGATGGTCAGGGATCTGAGAGTGACTTACCTGGGTGGTTCTACTTCAGGGTCTTTCATAAAGTTGTGGTCAACCTGTTGGCTAGAAGTTGTCATCTCTGAAGACTTGAATGCAACTGGAAGACCTCCCTCCAAGCTCGCTTATGTGGGTCGTTGTCAGAAAGCTCTGGTACCTCCATGTGGAGCAGTCATGGGGCTGCTCCACACATGGCTTGTCGGAGACAGAGTGATTCTAGAGAGAGAGCCCTAGACGGCAGCCACATGCCTTTTATAACCTCATCTTGGAGGTGGCATGTGACTCCTTACTCCGTGATTTACTGGTCACGTCGACCTCCCTGGTACAGAGTGGAGAGGACCCTGCAAAGGTGTGAACAACAGGAAGCAGGGATTATTGGGGGCCATCCTGGAGCATGGCTGCCACACTTGCTGAAGGTGCTTTTTATTGGGACCTCACAATTTCTAGAGACTCAGTTGCTCATCCTTTCGTTTAAACTGGCAGGGAACACATGAACCTTGAACCTTATTGAAACATGGAGGGAGCTAAACATATTTTATAAAAGCCATTGACTAAACATTTTCCATTCTTTGTTGTTGTTGTTTTGGAGGAGGAGACGTGTGTGTGTGTGTGTGTGTGTGTGTGTGTGTGTGTGTGTGTGTGTATGTGGGAGAGAGAGACAGAGACGGGGGGGAAGGAAAGGGAGAAGAAGAGAAAGAAAGAATGTAAAAAAATCTAATTTTTCAGATCAAAATTATTTTTTCTTCCAATTGACATACGGCTTCAGCATAACTCTTATTCTTCAATTCCCAAAGCAAGCACCTCTGTGAACTCTCACTTAAACACAGACTTTTTTTTTGGAACTATGGGATAGGAGTAAGAAGGAAAGGACAAAATACTAGCTTTTGTGCTTGGTTTTAAGTTTTAATTTCTCAAAAAGAGACAGAGAGAGAGTACTGCAAGCCAAAATCTTTGACTTATACAGACTCATTAGGATGAGTAGAAGTCAATTATTGAAGACAATTGCTTCAGAAAGTCAAGAATATAGAAACTTCTGAAAATAGAAAGCTTGTTACCTCTTTATGTGATCATAAACGATCTGAAAGAACTTTCTATAGTGTGACTATGAAATAAAGTCGAGTTTTTATTTCCTGTTAAATATGATGAAGAGGACAGTGACCCACGTTGAAGGGTGAGGCAGAGACATACAGAGCTCGTCTTACAAGGAGGGAAAGTTTCTGGTTATGTATTAGATTTGATTCTAGTTTTCTGGGGTAAAACATTAATCCTACAATCTTCTCTTTTTCATAGATGCTGAGATTCCTTTATAAGCTATTTGGACACCTGTATTTATACGTTTTTTCTGATTTTCAAGAAACTCTTTCCTTCTTGGGGGAGTGAAGCAGCAAGTCTTACTGGTGAACATATTTGGTGAGTTGTAGTAACCAGGTAAGAGGAGAGAAGGTGCTAGCAGGGGAAAGGCTCTCATGGGGAGGGGAGGAGAGCAAAGGCAGATGTGACAGAAAAATGAATTTGCTATCTATAGCCTCAGCTTCTTTCTAGAAGGCAGCAGCTTTCATAGCTGCCTAGCACCATGGGGGATTTGGGGTGTGCACATCTGGGGACAGACACTGAGGAGAAGTGAGAGGCTTCTGAGCACCTCTGGGAGGGAAGGGGTGGTGATGACCAGGTGCAGGAGGGGAGGAAGGAGGGGAAGCTGTGAGCTACTGCAGGTGATGTACACGTCGTCAGCTTGGTGCCCCACATTTCAGACCTGTTGGTGTACGTGGATTTCTTGTGCAAGTTGGAGAAAGGGCGAGTCCCGGGCTGATGCTGAGCGGAACAGAGACGGGACTCCCGGGCACAGAAGCCTGAGGCAGAGACACCTCGCGATCAGGAGCCCCCGGAATTAGGAGACCTCGTAGGGAAGGCTCTGGGTGGTTACATGGTTGTGGAATTGGAAGTGTGTCTGAACTAATTATTCCTACTTCTCCAAGGCACAAGGAAGGCCCGCTAACTTTTCCGTTTTGGCAGGTCAGTGAGATTTTTGACATTTAAAAGCTTTTGGTTTGGGTACAGAGCTAAGATGTCCTCTCCACGTGGATGAAACCCACATGCAAACACAAATAAGCTCTTGTACACGTGTGTGCACGCACACACACACAACAAACACATTTCTGCTCTTCCAGCTGCACCGATCTGTTCTCATTTCAGACAAACAAGTCTGGCCAATTTTGATCTTTCCTTTCGTGTCATTGAATGGTGAGTTGTCACAGATGTTCTGTGCCCCCATAGAGAAGCGTTGCCTTCCATTGGTTCTGGGTCACTTTTGTTTAGGAGAGTCACCTCCAAGAGGTACAGTCATTTTTAGTGGGTGTGGCCTAAGAGCAAATTATATGTGGGGTGCAGTGTCAGATCTTCGGGCCTGGAGAGAGATCTTTAAGGGAGCAGGCTGTGTCCCCTCCCAGGCTCACCCAGCTTCTCCCTGCCAGTTGGATGCATCAGCAAGAATCTCTGTATTCTACATTTTGCAGAGCCCTTGAAGACAGAAGGATAAAGAGGAACTTCCTGAAGCAACCCATGGCTCCTGAGGCCCCTCTATCTTACATCAAATGTTCCCTTCTCTATTACAAAACCTCATAGGCCTTGATAGATGCTGGCCTCCCTGGACTTCACGAAATGTCTTGAACAGTCAATGGAAACATTGAAGATGCTGTTAGTCATCTTGGTAACAGTCAAGTACGTAAGTGCCAGTGCTGACAAACTCTTTGAAAGGCAGATTCCACAGCAGAGTTCTCTCTCCTTTTTTCTGGCCACCCCATTTAATATTGATAACCATACCCTTTGCACCAGAGCTTTAGAGAGGATGGAGAGCTGGACCCAAGCTACACTGTCAGTGAGAGGAAAAGCAGCTGTATCTAAAGGTCCTGCTCCTTCTACTCTATTAGAGAGTTCTTTGGCAGCTGGCGCATCCTGATTATTTGGAAGTCACCAACAGTCTGAAAAAGAAAATCACATCGATGATGAAAGTTGGTTTATGCAGAATTCTAACAGGCGCAACATGAGCCCACAAATCTGTGTCACAGCCATCCAAGACAGGCCATCTGGAGACACATGGAAAGAGTCCATATGGAGGCTTTGGGTTCTGGCTTTACCCTGTACTGGCTCTTGCCTTGAGTAAGGTAATTAATCTGCCTCTCTGAGCCTCCGGTAAGCCTCTGAGGAATGGAAGTGTCAGCGTGTGCAAGAGTGTCTGCACACAGAGCCTGGTGTACGCTTAACTCACCCAGTCGTATCAGATGTTTTCAAAACATTGACGTTGAAGCATCAACAGTAAAACTTCCCAGAGAAAAGTGCACCGTTGTTCTTAGAGCTGCAGCTTTTGGGAGGTTGTAGCTGCCAACTTGCACTGTAAGGGCACTGAGGGACCTGCCGCCAAGAGAGAGTGGAGGTTTTGCTGAGGAAGTCACCCACAAGGGAGGTAAGATAGAGCTAGAGGAAATGTGACCATCTATGGAGATAACGTTACAGCTGGAAGTGCAGCTTCATCAGAGACCTTTCGAGTAGAGAATGTGATGCCAACTGAAGTTGGTCTTTGTTAATAGTACCCTGAATCAGTGTTAGCTTATCAGTAAGCTGGTTCCTGTGTCTTCACTGATAAGGAAAATGGGAGGTTTTAAGAGAGAGGTGGCTGTCGTATTTAGCACAGAGCTATTAGAGAAATTCGTTTTTAGAGTTAACAAACTCTGTTGGTAGGAAGTTGAGGAAGAAAGAGCGCATCGGACTGATGGTAAGTGTCTTTCCTTGGGGTGTTTTTCAAAAATGCATTTATCTCAAAGGGAATGGAATTTTAAAACAAAACTGTGGGTTAAACTTAATCATTGCTCTCAATTTTCTGTTTATGAAAAAGATAGTGTTACCCCATGGGAAACCCAAGTTACAGACTCATGAAGTCCTGTGAAGTCTTGTTTGTATGATGTGGAACTTTGCCTCGTGTAATGGAAAATAAATGGGGGAGGATGGGCTTGGGAGGGGGCCTTGCAGTATACAGTACATACAAAGTACTCATATGCCAGAATTATCCTTGCTGGAACCCACTAAAGTCCAGAAGTGGAGTCTGCTCAGACCGTGGAGAAGGGAAAAGTGCTTAGCGAGCAAGGAGCTGCGGGGCAAAGGGTATGTGGTATGGGGAAGAGAAGTCAGCCCCTCAGGGAGAAGGAGATGCAGGATGAGAAAGGAGAGTGCCAGGTATGGGGAGCAGGGCTGCCGAGGGCCCATCTTTCTGGGGGAGTGGTGGGTAGGGAGGAATATACCTGATTTAAGTTCATGCTTGGCATTGGCACCTCCAGTTGACAGCTCCATTTCTTTCCTCTCTGAAGTCTCCCAACAAAGCGTGTAGAGTCAGATGTGGCAGAGCTGACCCCCAAAGCCGTACCCCTGAGCGTCAGGGACAGAGAAGTGGGAGGTGTGCTCCCTCTGGCTGCAACAGTTCTCTCTCTTTTTTTCTTTTTTTTGGCCACCCCATGTGGCATGAGGGATCTTAGTTTCCCGACCAGGGGTCGAACCTGCGACCCCTGCAGTGGAAGCATGGCTTCTTAACCACTGGACCGCCAGGGAAGACCCCTTCTTTTTTCTTTTTTTGCAGCCATTCTTGAGGCCAAAAATACTCATGTGTCATTGCCCCCAAATCTCAATATGGACCTTCTTATCCCCTTTCTGCTATTCTATGTACAGTATGTGAGAGAAAGCTCTGACTTACACAGAACTGCACTTAATCCCTGCCGATGACTTACCGATGACTCTAGGCCACTCATCTGACCTCTTTAATTCTTGTATTCTTCACCTATAAAACCAGCATCTTAGTACTAATACCAAGCTAAGAGGGTGGGTTCTAAAGATTAAATGGATGTAAAGTAACAGCACCGCACCTAGCTGTCAGCAAACGCTTAATAATGTCAGCCATCGTCATTATTTTTTACCTTTCCTGCTCTGGGAACCTTCATCTCTGTGCCCTGCTGGCAGCACGCCGTGTCTGCTGATTTGAATTACAGAATCCCCAGCAGGACATTGGGTTGTCTCTGCTCTTGAACAGGTTGTATAGATGAGGACGTTTCTCCCTCTGTGTCTGAAGATGTGGACTAATAGCTCAAACAGATCTGGGACGTCTTTGGTTTTCAGATTCCTGCTTTTCCATCAGGAGAACTCTTCATATGTGTCCTTCAAAATGTTTGTCCTATGATTATGAGGGTCCATAGTTCTCTGCTCGCCCCTCCACACTTCCCAGTTTTCTGTGAATGCAGGGATAGAAAAGCGCAAAGGAGAGGATCTCCAGAGATTTGGGTAACATTGATATCCAAGGGGTATCCAAGGGATACCAATACCAGCTCTGAGGTGGGGCAAGCTTGGGGTGTTGGGGGAAGAGGAAGGAGAAAAGTGTGGAATGAGGGTGGGACACATGGAAGACCTGAATCAGAGAAGTGTGAAGGGTGGCAGACCATGGAGGACCTTTTAATCCATTACAGAGACTTTGGTTTTCACTTAATAAAAGGAGAGGTTGGAGGAGAGGAGTGGTTAAAAGGATCATGCTGGTTTCTGCTTTGAAAATAGATTCTAAGGGGGCAAGGGAAGGACCAAAGAGACTAATTCAGAGGCTACTGCAATAATCCAGGCAAGAGATGGTGGTAGCCTGGACCACCAGTGAGTGTCATGAGCAGTGTCACGTGGTTGAGCTCTGAATATACTTGGAAAGTAGATGCAGTGGGACTTGCTGATGGTTTGGGTGAGATGTGTTGGAGACAGAGGCATCAGGAAACCACCATGGATTTTGATCTGAGCAGTTGTAAAGATGGAGTTGCCATCAACCAAGATGATAAGGGCTGTTGGAAGGGCAGATTTTGGTGTGAAGAACAGGAATAAGTCTTGACAGGTTAATTTGGAGACATCTCCAAATTAATAGGATACAGATAAGTGGAGGGTTAATAGGATACAGATAAGTGGAGGGTCAAGTCAGCAGGTGCATATCTGAGTCTGAAGTTCAGGGGGTTAGTCTGGACGGCAGGTTTCACATTGAGAGTAGAATCCGCATACAGATGAAGTCTACAACCAGGAAAGTGGATGACATCACATGAGGAATGAGTGTAGACAGAGAAGAAAAGAGACTCAAGGACTGAGCCATGCAGTGGTGGGGAAAAGAGGAGATGTGAAGAGCAGCCAGCGGTGTCCTGAAGAAGGACGGGGAGAAACTGTTCCACTGGGACAGAGGCTGCTCAGAGCTCAAGGCAAGATGAAGACTAAGCACGCACAGTGGTTTTAGCGATTACGTGGAGGTAATTGGTGGCATTGACAACGGCAGGATGCCATTGCAATCCTAGCTAGTTACTAACAGAATTGAAATTTAGAGAAAGAAGCAATGCAGTGTTTCCAAAGTGGGTTCAGATTCTATAAGGTTATTTGCAAATCAAGCAAACAAACAAAACAAAATGAGAAACAGAAACAAAGAAAGAAAGGATTCTAATAGAAACTTATTCTAACTTACGCTAAATTCTCAGCACTTCCGCAGTGATTTACACGCAGAGATGCAAATTTATCTGTTTGGGAAAGATGAATATCTCTCCCCAGGGAAGCTTTCCAGTGAAAATAAGCAGTTGCTCTTTTGTAACCTCATGATCTATCTATATACTTCCACTCTTGAAGATCTCATCTAGTCTGGTGGGTTTAATTTTATCTATACACTGACATGTTCCAAATTTATATATATCTGGATGATATATCTCTAGCCCAAATGTGTCTCCTGAACTTCAGAAGCAAACAGCCCGCTGGTGTCTTGACATCTCCAGTTGTATGTCTAAGAGATATGCCAAGCTGAATATGTCCAAAACTGCTTGACTCTCATTCCAAAACCTGTTGCACATCCAGTCCCCCATCTCAGTAAATAGCAACCCCCTATGCCCAGTTGCTTGGGCAAAAGTCTTGAAGTCGTCTTTGGCCACTGTCTTTCTCTCCTACCCTATACCTTGTTCATCAAGAAATTCTGTCAGCAAACCTCAAAATACAGCCAAAATCCAACCTTGTCTCACAACCTACACTTCCACAGCCTGGTCCAAGCCACCATGTCTCTCATCTGGGCCATCACAAAGCCTCCTAACTTGCTTTCTTCCTCATCCCTTGCCCTCCCGAAGGCTATTCTCAGCACCCAGAGCCTTCTTGCTAAAACCCACGTCAGGTCCTGCCATTCCCTGGCTTGTTCCCTCCTGTGGTTCCCACCTCTCTGAGCAAGGACCAAAGTGCTTAAGCTGACTCATGAGGCCGTGCACGACTTGGTCACTGGACCTCTCCGAGCTGCTCTTACTTCCCTGCCGTCTTTCTCCACTCGAGTCACAGGACTCCCTGCTGCTCCTCAGACACAGCAGGCGTGCTTCTGCCTGGGCTGTACTTCGACTGTTTATCAAATGCCACCTTCCTAGTTGGCCTTCCAGGTCACCCTACCTAAAACTGCACACCTCTCCAATCCTCCTTACTTCCCTCCTCTGCTTTCTTTTTCTCCCTGAATGTATCACCATGTAAAACCTTTTATAAATACTTTTTACTTATTTATATAAATATCGTCCTCCTTCTCCACTAGGCTGAAAATTCCACATGGGCAGGTATTTCTGTCTTCCTTTGTTCCGCGTGGTATTTGGAGTGATGCTATTGTTTTAGAACTAGATACAGGTGTTGGTTGCACAACATTGTCAGTGTACCAAATGTCACTGAATTGTCACTTTAAAATGATTAATTTTTGTTATGTGAATTTAACATCAATAAAAAAAAATTATTCAGCAGCAAAAAAAGAAAAGAAAATTGAATAGTCAGGCTAAGTCTTATTGAGAAGGTGCTATAGGAGCAACGACTTGAGGAGGTGAGAAAGTTAGCCTTGTAGGTAATTGGAAGGAGGCGACCAGACAGAAGGAAGAGTGAGTGCAGAGTACTGGCTGTACATTCAAGGAGGACCCAGGAGCCAGGACTGGAAAGGAGGACCCAGGTGGCCTCATATAATGTGGGCACCATAGCTGCTGTAAGGGTGTTGGCGTTTCCTCTGGGGGAAGTGGAGGCGCATATGATTTGACTTAGGTTTTAACAGGATCTCTGGAGCCTCTGTGTCAGGAATAGTCTGAAGAGGGGCACTTGTGGAAGCAGAGAGAACTGTTAGAAACTATTTTTAAAATCCAGGTGAGAGATAATGGTGGCTCGGATGGGGACGTGACCGTGGAGGTGGGGCCGGGGAGATGGGGGATGTCATTGTAGGTAGGATGTACTTTGAAGATGAAACTATTAGGATGTCCTGACACATGAGGAAGAGGAGAGCCATTCATATATGGAGAGTTTTGGCTTGAGCAACTCTCAAGGGGGAAGATGGAGTCGTCACCACTGAGACAAGGAAGATTGTGGGAGAAGTTTTTCTTAGGGGCGAGGGAGCGGAGGAAGGTTGGAGGGTTATATCTCCAGTTTAGTTCTGAAGATATAAAGTCTCTGTTAATTCCAGTTTGTCCTTGAATATATACAAGTTGCTTCTAGTTTTTGAAGGGGAGAACTGGCTGAGGCCAAAAGAAGCATGGAGGGAGGGAGATAAATGCTGAGTGCCCCAAGAGTTTGGAGTGTGGCAAAGAAGCAGCAAAGAGATGAAAGTGTAACCAAAGGAGACACAGTGGGTAGACTGGGCCCAGAGCCTTTTCTGGAGATGCAGGCAGACCACCTCACACTACACAGGATCTGCCCCCATCTGTCACCGGCTCTATGCACCTTTTCATCGGAAAGACAGAAGGAAAGTGGGGTCTAAAATGCTCTCTAATGAAATGAGGGGGAAAAAATCCATTTGCTTATCGTCAGAGTTATTGAGTGAGAACCTGACTCACTTAAATTCACAAAAGTTTCACAGGACAAGTATTTCCTCGTTTTCACATGATTCCAGTAAGACCAGGCTACAGACGGCCAAGCTCTGCGGTGTGTTGACATCGTATCTCCATTTAGCTACATGACACCGGCCAAAACAAATGAATAAGCCCCACAGGATACCTTCTAAGTTATGAAATACTTGGGTGCCACGCTGCAAATGCAAGCAGCTAGATGTTCCTCTGGCAAATAAAGGTTTTGTTTTTTGTTTGTTAGTGGAAATGTCAGAGAATTAGATTATATGTGGGGACATGCAAGATTTCAAAACTGTAACCCCCAAACCAGAAAAAAATGTATGGCCAAATTAGGTTAGATGAATTTTGAAAATGAAGAGTAATTCTGAGGAGTCTTAAAAAGACGATATCTGCCAATGAAACCAGCAGGCACTGGAAGACTTCTGCTTAACTTGGCAGAATTCATGCCTGCCCAAGAGCTTGGATTTAGTTATTTATTAGAAGCCCTTGTCTTGCTGAGTTATTATAAACTATTACACTTTTACGCTGGATGGTGTCATAGTGGTTAGAAGCCAGAATTGTCTGGTTCTTTACAGAAAAGAGGCTTAAAGGAAATTAGAGCTGCTTATTTTGTTTAATCTCCCAGTCACAATCATAAGAAGGAAAGCTTTACCACTCTAATCTCTCTCTCTGTTTTTAGTTGATATTAGAAAAAAAAAAAGCCTTGTCGCTGAGGTTCAGCAAGTCTGGTTTCAAACCCAGCCACAACTGGGTGAGCTTGGTCAAATGATTTCACCAGTCTCGTCCTTGGTTTTTTATTTTAATCTGTAAACTTTGAAAGATGCTAATGCTAAGTACCATGCAGTATTTTACTTTGAATGAAAGGACTTCATTGCTGAATAACGGACTGAATTAAAACAGTAGCTTTTATTTATCATAATAGCTAGACTTTATTAAATGCTTCTGCAAGATGTCATGATTATGATATTAAAACTCTAACTGAAACCTTATTTAAAACTAAGAAATCAAGGTAACTGTGGCCTCATCTAGATGAATAAATGTCTAAATTTAATTTCAAAATTTTAAGATGTTTTAGGGTACAAAATATAAGTTCGTATTCAAGTGTAAGAATGTTCAAGTGGGTATCATTTTATTTAGAAAGAGAAAAACAAATATCGTATATTAACGCATATATGTGGAATCTAGAAAAATGGTACAGATGACCTTATTTGCAAAGCAGAAATAGAGACACAGACATAGAGAACAAACATATGGATACCAAAGGGGAAAGGGCATGGTGCGATGAATTGGGAGATGGGGATTGACATATATACACTATTAATACTATGTATTAAATAGATAACTAATGAGAACTTGCTGTATAGCACAGGGAACTCTACTCAGTGCTCTGTGGTGACCTAAATGGAAAGGAAATCCAAAACAGAGGGGATACATGGATACGTGTAGCTGGTTCACTTTGCTGTATAGTAGAAATTAACAGAACATTGTAAAGCAACTGTACTCCAAAAAAGTTAATTAAAAGATGTTATCTTGGGCTTCCCTGGTGGCACAGTGGTTGGGAGTCCACCTGCTGATGCAGGGGACACGGGTTTGTGCCCCGGTCCGGGAAGATCCCACATGCCGCGGAGCGGCTGGGCCCGTGAGCCATGGCCGCTGAGCCTGCACGTCCAGAGCCTGTGCTCCGCAACGGGAGAGGCCACAGCAGTGAGAGGGCCGCGTACCGAAAAAAAAAAAAAAATGTTATCTAGAGCTTACAGTGTCCTGGGCACTGTTCCAGTCTTGCCTGCTCCTGACTCTGTGGTCTCAGTGCCAAAACTCATGTTCTTGACAAGTAAGTCAAGAATAACAATGAACAGATCTAATTCCTTGAAGTGACGCCAAACATGGTGGTGAATCTCCCAGCAGTGACCAGACTTTGAATCTCTTCCTCTGAGAGCACACGACTGGTGTCCCTGCAGGTAGGGATGCCTGTTCAAGAACATTGCCAACCACAGGGGAGTGGGGAGAGGGGGATGGTACGGTCAACTGGTTCCAAAAACCTACTAGAATTATTCTTTGGCTGTGCCTCCTCTCTTGACCTTCTTCACCTGGTGGCAGGATGATTTAGTGGTCAGGAATCTAGCCTTTGGAGCCAACCTGCTTGGGTTCAAATTCTGGTTCCTCTTCTTAGCGTAACATGACTTGGACGGTTTGCTTACCCTCTCCGTGTCTCAGTGTCCTTGTCTGTAAAACGGCCATAATAATGGTAGTGCCTGCTTCATTGGGTGGTTATGGGAATGAAGGAGTTAATACATGTAAGTCATTTAGAACTGTATCTGGCATAGAGTGAGTTCCAGAGAAGCCTTAGCTTTCATTGTTATATTATTGTACGGGTCTGGGATTAGTCCCTGAATCCTTCTGGGATGTGGTGAGTTTTAAAAGTAAGTCGAATTTACCCATGATTGACTCATACCCGCTATTCCTAGCTAAAAGCAAATCTTGCGGTTAGCATTTGTTTTACATGGAGCCCAGGAGTTGAGGGTTATGATTTTCCTTGTCATTCCCCTTAAGGCAGCCTTCGTACTCAAAACTTCCCTCTATTTCTCTGAACTCCTTAGAAAAACTTCTTTTTCCCATCCAAGAGCCCTGTAGGGACTTAAATCTGAGTATCTGGAGTCTGTTTCTGGATGAGACTGTGTCAATTCTGGACCCTAAACAGAACATTTGCAGAATCCCGTACAGTCCTGTTTACTTCTCATTGCTTGCCCCCACGTTGCTTTTGAAACTCTCTGCACCAAAGCTGCCGTAACTGGCCGCGCCTTCCTCACTAGTGTCTGCTAAATGAAGTGTCAGAGGAGTATCTGGAAGAGCGGTCTCGAGGGCCCCAAGGTTTCCAGATCATTTGGAACTCAGTGTAATAATATCAGTGCGATCAACAACAAGCATTAGCTTGAGTCACTGATGCTAAAACAGGGAAATGATTTTGATTACTTTTTCTAAAGGATTATTCAATGTTGTCCCTACATCTAAATATTTATGTACCAAGGTCAGAATTCTTGGTACATGGTGCACCAGCACTTTTGAACAAGTCATGAATTTTGGCTAGAAATCAAATTTCAGGGTGGGTGGAGTGGTGAGTTGAAGGATGTCTTTGAGTATCTCCCCTTTAAAATAAAAGAGAGCGTGCAAGTGAGTAGTCTGCAGGGAAGGAGCTACAAGATCTGGAAACTATTCACAGCTCAGTCATTCACTTGAAATTCATTCCTCCTGCCCTTCAGTTTGGGTAAGCATCAATTACTTATCTAAAATCTGTAGTGAAAACTTTTCCAGACACGTAATAAGGAAAGTATCAACAATTCATGTTTAGAGGAAATGTGCTTTCTGAAAATATATTAAGGTTGTTGTATTCATTCTATATTTGTCAGTTTCTGTATTGGTTCCATCTCTCTCCTAACTTTTTAAGAAAAAAATGATATGGTTAAGTTATCCTTTTGCTGAAAGAAAAAGTATGTCATTATTTTTCACAGACCTTCAACTCTTCTTAGAAAGCTTTTGGCGAATCTTGGGGATAGGCAGGGGCAGGGACACATTTCTGAGGGTTTGGTATAGTGTCCAGGGCAGCTATTTGATGACTGTTTTACCCATCTAAACTTTCCTCTATTCCTTAGTTGCTTTGGGATGACCGTTTGTTTGCCTGTGTGCTTGAGGGCAGGCGGGAGTCATGTGTGTGTACACACAGCTGCCATCCTGTGTGGATGTCTGGGTTTCATATCTGCATTTATAATATTGTATTTTCTAAGGTCTGTTGAATTTTATAATTTTCTTTTTTTTCAAAAATAGAAACCCATTTTTTTCCTCTTAATTTAGCTTCGGTACATTCTCACGAGACGGTGATATAGCATGGCTGTCGTAAGCCCTGCGTGGTCCAAAAGTCCAGTAGGAATAAATGCAATGATACGTGTCTGAAGTCTGCTCCTATACATATTTATACATATTAAAGATCTGTTCATGAATAATTTTCCTGGGCGGTATTGAGCAAGTAAAAATCATGGCTGTAAATATTTTGCTTGTGATTTTGTCTGACTTATTTTTTGGTGTCTTTTTGTCAGAGATACTGACAACTCTTTCCAACTATAAATCTTAGGGAATACCATCAACCACCTAGAGGGGAGCCTCCCCATCGTGTGTCACAGATCTGCCTTGAATCGTCTTGAGAATCGGTTACCAACACTTGCTCTAGATTGAGAAACTGAGAATGAGACTTTGGGTCTTGGTAATTCCAGCAATTCTCATACCTTCCACATCAGCTACATTTAGTAAGTATTGCTTTTGAACTGACATTTAAAATTTTTTTAATTAAGTAATTCCAAGAACATTTGCCTAGTTTTAAATTGCCTGCTTCCAATTGCCCTAGCTGAATGGTAACCTAGAAAATTCATTTATGCTCTGCAGTCATTCTTCATCACCAATCTATCAGGATATATATATATATATGCCCATAACAAATATAGCATAATTTTAATTTTACATATTCAAATACGTCAAAATTTAATACGGTGCCTGCACGTAGAAGGTATTGACAGCGTTTGTTGACTGACAACACACTTTGGTAGATGACATGGATGCTTTCCTTTGGAGCAATGTGAAGGATCTAGCTCCAAATTAAGTCACTAATCTGTGTATCCATTAGAATATTTCCTAAAAGATCTTAGATCATTTACTTATTCTTTCTCAAAGTGTGACCAGTTTCTAAATTTAATCCTAGAAGGGGATATTTAGAATACAGAAATTGTAATCCTTTTTATATGATCACTTCAGGATGATATTTATACATATTTTTTATTTGCAGGCAAATCATCTTGGGGCCTGGAAAATGAGGCTTTAATTGTGAGATGTCCCAGACAAGAAAAATCTCGGTACCCTGTGGTCTGGTATTACTCAAAAACCAACAAACGTATTACCACCCAGAGAAGAAGTCGTGTAGTTGCCTCAGGGGAACGTCTTAAGTTTCTCCCAGCCAAAGTCAACGATTCCGGATTTTATACTTGCATTATCAGAAGGTATTATCCAGTCCTGTTCCTTTGTCTTTCAGAGTTGATAGTCTGAGCTGCCTCACTTCCCTTCTCTTTCTAGACCTCTCTGCAGCAGTTGAATTTATAAAGTGATTGGAATAAAAGAGCACCTGAGGAACACCATGAGGTTGGGCTTTAGGTGATGGTGAACTCTCTGGATGTATAATGACAGGGTTTAAGTTGTAGCCCAATTAGAAAAAGACCTAGCTTTTCTAGTGACCAGGAAAACTGAGAGCAGTTGCTCACGTTGGGCTCCAAATCAGAACAAACCAGCAGCCTAGATGTGGGGTGTCAGGAGGCTTATGATGGGTGTAAAAGGGGGGTCATCCGTGCCTCCCACGTGTGGGGCAAACCCAAGAAGTTTACCTGAGACTGGGGGCCCACAAGTCCCTCACTCTACATGTAAATTGCCAGCTCTTGTGATTTTGTGCCTGTTTGGTACGTGCAAGGTGTCAGATGAACTAAGTCAAAAGGCAAGATGGGTACAGTTAGGTGCCTAGGTTCTGAGGTCAGACAGCGTTAGTTTCAAAGTCACGGTGTGTCACTAGTTAGCTGCGCATTGCTGGTAAGTTACTTCTCCATCCTTGTTTCCTCATCTGTAAAATACACGTGATAGTAGAACCCACTTCAAAGCGTGGCTATGAGAATAAAATGAGATACACAGTAAACTCTTAATAAATACTAATTATCTTTATTATATCAGGTCTCAGTGTTACAGCACGTACAGCGTATACAGAAATGGTGAGGGAATCATTTTAAAGGCTACTGTAGGGGTTGCGTTTTACCTAAAATGTAACAAAAAGCATTTAAAACTCTAGATTTTAATGATTATTTTAGAAGAAGACCCACTATCTGTCAATTGTTTTAGGAAGAAAAGCAATATTAAGTAAAAGTTAGAGCTGGGTTAAGTTATTTCATAACGCTAAGTGACTTTTTAAAAAATTGTTTGATTTATTTTCATAGTCCTACCTCCAATAAGACTGGATATGTGAATGTCACCATTTATAAAAAACAACCAGGTTGTGATATTCCAGACTTTCTGATATATTCAGCAACATCTGGATCAGAAAGAAATTCCAAAATATATTGTCCTACAGTTGACCTCTACAATTGGACAGCGCCTGTGGAGTGGTTTAAGGTAAAAGGAAACGTGCAGGAAATAGATGAAAATCACACCATCAGAATAGGTGGAAGTAAAGAATTACTGAAAGTGGACTGGAACTTTTCATTTCAGAATTGTGAAGTTCTTCAAGGACCCAGGTACCGAGCACACAAGTCATTTTTGCTGATTGACCGTGCAAACAGCAAGGACACTGGTGATTATACATGTAAATTTATGCACAATGAAAATGGAGTCAATTATACCGTGACTGCAACCAGGTCATTCACAGTTATTGGTAAGCTACTGAATTCAACAAAATGCAATACTTGGAAAAAGCTAACGTGACAGAAATTGTGTCCTTCTTGTTGATTTGCCGGTCCTCCATGCTCCTCCCCAAACCTCCTCCTGACTCATCTTATGTGTATTTTCTAATGTGACGCAAAGAGATTTTCTAAATGCACTATCAAGATGTAAGACATTTTGGAGGGAAATTACGCTGCTGATCCAAAGCCACGTCTGTTCTGTCCTCTGTGGCTTCATTTTTCAAAGATAACGTGATCTGAATGCTAACCTAACGTTTTTTTGAATGGCAGTACCACTATTTGGAGAGCAAGATTAACTCTTTGTCTCGCAGTTTGTCGTCAGAGGTTCTGTAAATAGAGGAAAATCGATTTCACCTCTGTCATGACTAGCCGGTTAGAAGTTGAGTGAGAAGCTTTATAAAGAGATACATAGATATTGTTGGCTGATTTGCAATCCCGATTTGCAATGCTTTCATCATCGTCCAGGACCTTAAGGAGGTCATTTAATTCTACCTTTTTTTTTCAAAATTACTTTAAATTCTATAAAAGTCCATGAGGGGTGAGACTTCACAGTCAAGCCTGTTAAATCTACAGAGTCGGGGTCCCCTTAGCAGAGCTTGACCTGTGGGTGGAGGCGAAGCAGGACCTGTATGTCCGGCAGATTCCCCAGGGCAGAGCAGTCGTGGAGAGGAGTTTTGGTTGGTAGTTTTCCAGTGCCCCACCGCTGTAACATAAGCATCGCCGGACCACATTTGTGTTAGTACCTCTCAGTGTTCAACATCAAAACCCGCAGGGGTCCTTAATCACACCATCCCGAAATAAATGAGAATCAAGGGGTGCGGGAACGCAGCCGTGCATTCACCGTGTCTACGCGTCAGTGCCACAGGCATTTGAACTTCCTGATAGGGTGGGCCACACGGGTGGAACGCTGTGAGCGGAAGTGTGGACTCACGTGTTTATCACTTCAGGAGTCGTTTGAACTCGTCCCTGTAGCGTTCGTTATGCTTTTTCCTATAGAATCGTCGTTTTCTGACCATTGCTGCGTCATGCAATTAATTTAATGCTCCGGATGGCATTTGTTTTGATGATAAAAAGAGAATAGAAAATATCAAAAAACATCATAGGTAGTAAGAGGACGTATTGCTGGAACGTATTTGTTTCGCGTGTGTGCGCGTGTGTATGCATGTGTATTTGTTGCCATGGATCACAACGAGAAAAATCTGAGAAACATCATGTGAAAAAGGACAGAAATATGGAAATACAAGCTTTCTATTGATGACCGCCCAATGCTTGCCTCATATTTATATTTTTACATATTTATATTTAATTAATTACATATTTATATTTAAATGTTTAAATATTTATATAGATTTACATATTTATATTCTCTTTGATTTCAGATAAGCAAAGCTTTTCTTTGCTTCCAGTAATTATAGCCCCTCCACAGAATGAAACAAAGGAAGTGGAAATTGGTAAGAAAACTTTAAGAATACTGTCAATGTTTCGTCTGGAACATCTTTCCATATGACCCCTGTTCTGAATTCCCCAAGCAGGGGTCAGGCTGTTACCACAGCGGATCGTGAGGATTAAATGAGATGCGTATTTGGAAACACCCACCTTGGGCCCTTGCTAATAGTAGGAATATGTGGTCACAGCAACGTACGGCACTTACATTTGTACTGCACTGGGCTCTATTTTATTTACTTATTTTGGTGCTTTCATGTGTGCTACCTCATTTCCCTCTCACTTCTACCCAACTGTCCAAGGAGGTAGATATCGTCCCCACTTTATGCTTGTGGATGCCTAGGCTTAGAGAGGCTCAATGACACACCCAAGGATGCGGCGTGAATAAATGGTGATGGAGGAGAACCCAGATTGTATGCCTCTGTCCGTCTCTGCTTTTCCTGGTTCCCTGAGAGAATGGGGTCAAAATCAAAGTTCTTAGCACGTAAAGCAAAACGACGCTGACTGCCTCAGAGCTGCTCTACCGCTTTGCAGGCTTTTCCACGTTCCTCCCTGCTTTCGCCAATGCCCTCCTTCCCATCCGTCGACACGAAGCTCGAGTACCCCCTCCTCCGTGAAATCCCCCTGCCCGCCTCCTTACCTGCCAGGGAGCACGATCAGAGCCAGCATCCGGCTCTGATCCAGGGCCACCAGCACCAGCCCTGCTCCCTGCCCTGATGGCTCCCTCTGTATTCCCATGCCACTTGTCTATCTTTCTGTTAAAACACTAGAATACCGTGTGTTCTGATCGTTTGCTTATACCGTTGTCACCTCCCTGGAGACTCTAAGTTCCTCATCCCTCTTCAGATGCTTAATTCTTGACACAGGGACGAAGAACTCAGTAAAGGATGGCTGAGTACCCAACCCAAGGCAGGAATCAGCCCTTAAGCTTTTAGTTCTGAAAGGAGGAAATCTCAAATTAACAGGAGTGGGAGTGGAGAGGCTCTTGTTGGACGATTAAGCAGTGGGATTGTGGCTGATTCAGGTGAAACGGTTTTACCGACAAAGGTAGCTTACAGAGAGATGAAGGGGATTCCATAGGAGAAGAAAGGAGTGGAAGACATCCAAGGAAGAGGGGATATACATATATACATGTGGCTGATTGATTCACTTTGCTGTACAGCAGAAACTAACACAACATTGTAAAGCAACTCTACTCCAATTAAAAAAAAAAAAGGAAAAGAAATGGCAATGCGTAGTAAGGGGAAATCTTAGATTGTAACGTGGCATTGGTGAAGCCTCTATAGTTTCCACTGCAGGGGAGAGGGGAGAGGGGCCTGAGCTTCAACCTGAACTGTGAGTGTGATGAAAACGATGGGAGACGGAGAAGGTGGCAAAGTGAGGGTAGAGAAGGAGGAAGGTGCTGAAGATGAGGAAAGGAAATGGAAATCAATTCATGACACACACTAGACGTTCAATGACTTTCTCTCACCTGCAATTAAATTAAGTCCTCTCTGCAGAACGGACTTTTATTGGTGAATCGCTTTCCTTCTCATCTAGGAAAACCAGCAAACCTAAGGTGCTCTGCTTGCTTTGGGAAAGGCTCTCAGACCATGGCTGACATCCTGTGGCAGGTTAACGGAAGCAACGTTGAGAACTTCGGTGAAGCAAGAATGCAAGTGTTGCAAGAGCAAACTCAAAGGTATTTTGCAGTCTCAGTTAAAGCATCCCCTTCCCTTCCCACAAAGTTTGCAATTGCAAAATAAGCACTGAAAGTAACAGGTTGTCTTACTAGTTCTCGCAGCGAGCTGACTTGCCTAAACGCCGTGTTAAGAATAGCGGATGTAAAGGAAGAGGATTTCTCACTGAAGTACGACTGTCTGGCCATGAATTTCCGTGGCCTGATCACGCACACCGTAAGACTAAGGAGGAAAAATCCAAGTAAGGCATGTCTCTGAGACTTGGGTCACCTGAGTTTGCTGTTAACAACCGGAAGCTGAATCATATTCTTAGGGAACAGTGTATTGGAGTGTGGCTCCGGGGAGTCCGTCAAGTCAGAGTGGTCCATCTCACAGATTGGAGGCAGGGGGAGAAAAGATCTGTCTTGGGTGTAGGCAACAGGGGGACATATTGTGTGTAGAGAATTCAAGACAAAAACGAAGCCACGCCACATTCACTGTGCTTCCCATCCTCGGCACGTCCAGACAGTGTTAAACGAGTCCGTGAGGACGTGCCCCTCCTCTCGGGTGCAAAGGCATCTTGCTTCCACTCCCTCCGTGTATCACTGCGCACACAATGATGGCAGAAAAGTAGTTTGACAAACATTTCCTTCCTGACCACCTGTCAATTTCCTCACTTGTTTGCATGTCCAGATAAAGACACCCCACTGGTTAGATGTAGCATTTAATCCGGTGTAATGAAGGGTGGGGAGAAAATTTTGATACTTTAACTTGTCACTCCATGTACCACTATGTAGAAATTATGTAATGTGTTTGTCACATAGTCATAGGGAGAGGTAAACTCCCAGTTTATACCCCTAAGTGGGGTATAGTCCAGATTAATTTGGATAAACCCACAAAGGCACAACATGGTTGGGAGAGATGAGAAAACAGACCACCAGTCAGATAGGGTCTTTTAGTCTCTGCCCGAGGGGGTGCTCGGGATTTTTCTTGTTTGAATTCAACTTTAACCACCGATTTGCAAGCTATTATAAAACAAACGGAATCATGACTACTGTAGATGATTTTAAATGCTGTCATGTTCCATGGGTCATCAGGATTCTGCCAGTTATAACTGTGTCACCCCAGGACATGTGGACCCTGTTGAGATGTCATTTTAGGGTGACATTTGTGGTTCTGGTGGGCACGGAAGATCCCGCAAGAAAGAGGAAGCCACCTCCACCCCTAGCACTGCCATGCTGTCCTTATCCCCATGCTTTTCTCACATTGTCATTATATGAACGTTCTCCGGGTGCCTGTGTATTGGAATTGTTTTCACGTTACATGTACTTGGTGATTTTGTTCCTTCTAATTCATCTGTATATGCTACCTTTCACCTGTGTTTCTTCAAAGCAACACAATTATACTCTGTCTCAACAACTATGTCGATTAAACAAAAACTGTTACAACTGCTCTCAAAGGTCACAATGAATTCCCTTATTTCTAATCATACAATAAAAGAAATTACACATTGTCCTGAATTTTAAAAACAAAAACTAAAAAACCTGTGTCCCCATATTATTAAATATCATTAAACATTTGATACTACTGCAATTAATAGTACACATTTATTCATTGTTCCCTAGGTACCAGGACCTGTCATTATTTCCCCTATAATTTTTCATTTATTTTATCAAAAATCCACGATGAAGAGACTATTACCATCATCTAGTTTTATAGATGAGGAAACTGAGGCAAAGAGAGGTTGAATAATTGGCCAGGCTGCAGTTACAGAGCCAGGATTCAAAGGCAAGCAGTGTTTCCTGTTTATAAGCTCTTACAGAAAGTATTCAGTGTTTAGTCAACACGTACAAGGATCACTTATACATTTATAAAATAACTAACATTTAGGAAGATACTGAACTTCAACTTGCCTTAAGGTCTTGGATTAGCTTCTTTCTTCTAGTTAGCTAGTCACGTGCATAACTACTTCACAAGAAATAGGGATTCCCGGCATGCATCCAGATAGAATTTTTGGAAAGAGTGACCTGGAAAGGAATCCTGTTGAAATAATTCACTTAGGGAGTATTTATCATTTAAACTGATGACAGTGCAGACACTAGGCTCACTCACAATTTTCAGTTTTGGATCGGTTCACCTTGGTCATTCTTTTTTTAATTAAAAAAAAATTTTTGACCATGCCATGCAGCACGTGGGATCTTAGTTTCCCCGACCAGAAATCGAACCCGCACCCCCCTGCAGTGGAAGCTCGGAGTCCTAACCTCTGGACTGCCAGGAAAGTCCCCACCTTGGTCATTCTTGATTTCATAGTGTGGATACGCAGGGAGCTGATGAACTAATGAAGGGATTTGCAAATACAGACCAGGGATTTTCTGTGGCAAAACTGGGAGCCTGTGTTTTGAGATCAGATGAAAACGAAAAGGGAGCTATCTAGCCAAATCGCATTTGAGAGTCTTGTCACATTTATCTTTAAGTGGGACTATTTGTAAGATGGGATAGTTAACGATTCTAAGGAGGGAAGTAAACTTAAAACAGCCAAAAATACTATTGACGAGCACAGTTCTTACATTCAATTTGTATATATCTGATTCAATAAATACGGGGGCCATCTTGCATATATACGTTATGAAGCAATGAGTAAGGATAAAAGTTCAGTGATGGCTAATAATGTTCATCAGAAGGGAAATATAGGGCATATTTAGGACCTAAAACCCAGTCATTTGACTTCATCAAATACACATTAGAGACTTAGATAGCTCTTGTTTCTTCCCTGCTTTCCTATGCCACCAACCCCAGATGCAGTAAGTCCCCAAGACCTGTTGATTCTTTGTCCTTAACGCCGCCAACGCCAGGTTTGTCCATTCCTTTCTCATTATTACACGAATCTGGCCCCTACTGCAGAAACTTCTCATCCCATTCGACTCCGAGGACCTGTGAGTCATAGAAAGAAAACTTCCACTACCATCAGATTAATCTCGCTTGTAAACCACTTTCACTGTTAACGAACGACTCAGCACTCTTCAGTGGCTCTCATGACCAGAATAGAGACAAAATGCTTTAGCTGGAGCTCAAATCTGATCAGAACCTAGCCCTAGACCCACCATTCCAATCATATGTTCCAGCAATTCCCCAAACTGGATCATCCCCCTTCCTCAGAAGACACACCCCGTCTCTGCCCTTGCGCTCACAGCATCCTCTCTTGCCAGGAATACATTTTTTTTTTTTTTTTTTTTTGCAGCTATCTAAATCTTACTCATCCTCCAGAGACCTTATTCTGCAAGAAGCCTTCACTGCCCAATCCAGCATGGAGTGAGCACACCTTCCTAAAACCTCTGCTAGCTAAAACTAATGCTTTCACTTCCAATCTTAGCTAAGTTTACATGGGTCTGTCTTTCTCTTATGCTTTGAAAATCCCCTACAATGCCTAGCCTGGTGCCTTGCACAGAGTAGGGGCTCACTAAACATTAATTTACTGATTCTTAAAACAGCCATGAAAATGCCATGTAGGCATCCCTTGTATAAATCTCTCATCCCAGTGGAAGCCAGCATCCACGTATTTGTTTATTTTCTCCTGTTTTAGGAATAATAATGATCATTTTTCTCCTCCCCCTATCTTTTGAATAGTGGATCAACAAAGCACCTACTACGTGCTTGCAGGATTTAGCATATTATTCTTGCTAATCAATGTCTCGGTGGTAATTCTAAAAGCATTCTGGATTGAGATTATTCTGCTCTGGAGAGACATAGCTAGACCTCACAAAACTAGGAACGGTAAGTGGCAAGTTTCAAGTTTTCTTCAAAAGAAAAGGTTCTATAAGGGCTGTTGGTTGTTTATCGAATAATCTCTTAATAGTTATGCTACTTAACACAGATTCCCTTTTGCTTGCTAGCATATTATCAATAAACCTTTTTGAGTCCACTCAGAGGACACTCTCCATCCTGCCTTGTCACTCCTCGTGGTTCTGAGGTTCATCCCAACAGCTCCAATTTTCTCCCCCGTAGAATTGCTGTTCTTACTAAATCCCCTGTAGCAGAATCTGCTCCAAGCCCAGAAAGGGCATTTTGGAAAACGGGAAAACTTTATGGAAGTCAAAACATTAACAAAATTGTTCCTGTTTTCCAGATGTGAACAGGTTAGAAAGGTCCATCAGAATGCAATGTATTTTACCAGAAACCCTGTTCCATAAAGAGTGTTACCTACCTACAGATGTACACCCATGAAAGAAGACAGTGCCGCCTGCTTATTTAAATATGAACACCGTTCTTTCATTTGGAGGCAGATAAAATTTAGATTTTCCATATGGGTCACTCAACTAGAGCTAATTATTTGATTTGTGGGAAATTCAGATCCCTTAAAAACTTCTACTCTTTTGCCACCGTTAATTACCCTTTAGCATTTTCACGTCCCCACGGGGAAAACGAAAGCTAAACCTGAGATCTGCTCAGCCCAGCAGAAAGCCCCTTAGCCATGAGTATAAATACTTATTAACAGATTATTAAACTTGACAATATGGTTTGAACTAAACTAGTCAGGCTCTTGCCTGTTTTTTATCATTCAGCCTGAGACAGTAAAAAGGAGAACTTTGGGACTAAGATTGGTTTCCTGATGACATTTTGTGGCAATAGATTGTTGTCATGGTCTCTGGAGTCTAGATTATTTGGGGCGATGAGATACATTCACCAACAGCCATAAAACTCCCTGAAGAATGTCTACTAAGAGTCCAATGAGAATTTTTGAGGACCAAGTAATAACATTGTGTTCTTTGTTCTCATCTTCAGATGGGAAGATCTATGATGCTTACGTGATCTACCCACGGAACTGTAAAAACAGTCCAGAGGGGGCCAGCTCTGTGGAGTACTTTGTTCACCAGATTCTGCCTGACGTCCTTGAAAATAAATGTGGCTACGACTTGTACATTTATGGGAGAGATCTGCTCCCTGGAGAAGGTAAAACTGTCAACAACCATCAGGGACAGAAATTCACATTCATCAGAAGGATAAGTAATAGGTGGTCTTATCCCTGCCATCATCAGGAGCTGCAATTATTATTCCAGGTCATAAGATTAGTGCTTTTCAATATTTCTCCAGGAGAAGGAGGTACTTACTCTTTGCTTCTCCTGCCCCCATCACCACCCTGATCCTGAGGTCTTCACAGTCGTGTCAGTGATACGAAGACAGGATAAGGCAGCCTTGCTTGTGGATTTAGTGGGGTCCAGCCCCTACTTCATTCCCCATGTCCACCACTAGGATAGCTGACATCTCTGAAGTCCCTCTAGAAGATTTGAAGGAGGACTTGAAATCCAAGGAATTTTGTTCTACTATCCAGAGGCACTGGCTAAAATATTTGAAAGGACTCAGAAAGGCTTTATGATTTTCCTTATATTGGTGACATATTTGCAAATTTATATCCTCACAAGAACAGATAGAATTGTGTCTTCTGTTCCTTAATATTCCTAGTTGATTTCATGTGATTTTGACAGTAGGGTCACAATTCTGGCATTTCAGTAGTCGTTCTCCTTTCCCTCCATATTTATGTCAAGTATCTAGGAACCCTCTTTCTAGCCCTTCTCACATTCCTCAGGGACCAGGAAGCGTGTGGAATATGAATGAGGCAGGGACATCATGAGTGTAAGTCCTCTAAAGTCAATGTTTAATAGACTGTGAGTTTAAACTGGCATTCCTACCGCAAAGAGGGCTTCAAGTGTCTATGGAATTAAATGTATACACGACAGGTGAATCTGGTTTATCCTGCAATATTTGGATAATGTTAATGGCCTAGTACCAGCTTGGGAGACATGTATAGAGCGCAATTCAGGAAAACGTAACCCACATCTCTCCCGAGGCTCTCTTCTTGCTTCAGCTCTCCCCACTGGCTACCCCTGCAAGTCGAGAGCAATGTCATGTTATTCAGATGCTCATTGCCCGTTACGCATCTGCTTATGAGGCTGCAGGGACTCCAGTTGTTTGTGATGTCACACCAGGTGTGACATGCTCTCCATCTCTTCTTTCTTAGGTCCGCCGACCTCATTTCTAGTTACACCTCTCCCCAGCCAAACGTGAGTGCCAGCTCACTGGTGCTCAAGCTTGTGTGGCCTGTATCGTGCTGTTTTTCATTTGGAAAAGTTTCCCACCTCCACCTCTCTCAAGTATGTCCTCTGACCTTACCTCAACCAAAGTGAAACAAAGTGAAACAAAACAACACCAAACTTCACTCTTCCCTTAGAAAAAGTTCATGACAGGCCCATGCAGTGTATTTCTTCCCATGACAGTTACTCTCCATTTGCTCCTTCAAATTCATTCTGCCCCCTCCTCCATCCAGTGGTCTGGTAGCTGATCCTTACAGAAGACGTCACCCCCTTGCTCTCTGCTCCACGCTGGGCTTGGCCAATGGGAGGCACTGGCAGGTGCTCGGAGGGCAGGGTGCATCCCTGTTCCCTCTGGGTGGGGTCCCCTGGGTAGCTGTGCCCCTCTCTGCTGAAGCACTGGCTCCTGTCAGCTGGCCATCCTCAGACACGTACCTGCTTTGGGCTCCATCACCGCTCCCCTTCCGTCACACCTGGAGGGCAGTTGCGGCTCCCTGACATCACCTGCTGTGGGGCTCTGCACCATCTCTTGTTGATTTCCTTTGGCTCTGCCCACATCTTTTATAAACTGTCCTTCCATTAGATTCTCTTTAGTCAGTACTTTTGAGGGTGCCGAGCTTTTTGTTAGGACCCTGACTGACACAAGGTCTCTGTCGGGCACTATTCGACATTCATTTCCTGTTTCAGACCATGTGGACCGGCAGTCTTCAGCCTCCACTGCCTAAGAATGTCTTGAGTTGTTTTGTTCATGGTTGTGCTTCCTTAATCATGCCGTCCCCTCCTTGCCGTGAGAGCTGGGTGTTTTACATGTTCTAAGTCCACCCAGAAGTTAAGTGAAATCACCATGGAGTTGACGATCCATAAACACTGATTTGATAAGGGGATCTGATCTTCCTTAAGATTTCCCTAGTCTGGATCAAATCAGCTTCTAAAACAGAGACTATTAGGGGATGAAGTGGATCCAGGACTCCCTAGAGACTTTAGTCAGTTCAGAGAAGCAAGGGTTCCTGAGTTTGCACTCTATTTTTTTTTCCCCCACCGTCCCTTTTTATTTTATTTATTTAAGATTTATTTTTCTTGCGGTAACATTCGTTGAATGTGAGTTTCATATGTACAACGTATTTCTACTTCTGTACAACCTACAGCGTGCTTACCACCAAAAATTTAGTTTCCATCCATCACCATACGCTTGGCCCCCTTTACTCATTTTGCCCTCCCTGTGCCTCCCCCTCTGGTAACCACTGCTCTGCTCATTGACCCGGTGGGTGTTCATAGCATATGCTTTTCACCATATACTTGTGATTTTTCCCACTTTCTTTCGGTAGCTGATTTCTAATTTCATACTATTGTGATTGGAAAAGATGCTTGATAGGATTTCAATCTTAAACTTATTCAGACTTGTCTGGTGTCCCAACACATAATCTAACCTTGAGAATGTACCATGTGTGTTGAGAAGAACGTGTGTTCTGCTGCATTTGCATGGAACGTTCTGTAAGAAGAGAGTGAAAATTCTAAGTCCCTTTACAACATGTAAGCTAATATTCTAAGAAGATAAGATGTATCGATAGCTAGTGAACCTGAATTCGAAGCCTCCTGCTACATATCTCTACGTTCCCACTGAACTGAAGGACTCTGGACTGCTCTGTCTGGGAGAGAAGAAGGCTTGGGGTGGATATTCTCATCGTGAAAGGGCTGTGTGTGTCCTCACCCCTCCCACTGTGTCTTTTATCACTAGATGTAGCTACCACAGTGGAAACCAGCATTCAGAAGAGCAGGCGGCACATCTTCATCCTGACCCCTGAGGTCACGCACAGCAAGGAGTGTGCCTACGAGTGGGAGATCGCCTTGCACAACACCCTCATCCGGAACGACTCCAAGGCCATCCTGATTGAAATGGAGGCTCTGTGCCCGCCCAGCGGACTGCAGTTTGGGGAGCTTCAGGACTCCCTCAAGCATCTCGTCAAAGTGCAGGGGACCATCAAGTGGAGGGAGGACCTCGTGGCCAACAAACAGTCTCTGAATTCCAAGTTCTGGAAGCACATAAGGTACCACATGCCGGTGCCAAGCCAACTTCCAAGAAAGACTCCCCGCTCGGCATCCTCGAGCGCCCAGGGGCAGCAGTGCTTGCTTTGACGGCTAATGCACTGCGTTTGGGGGATCCAGATCCCTCGCAGCTGGGTCACGCCGCTGTACTGGGGGAGGAGGCTCCAGAAATGGGAGTATCGAGGGTATTCAGACTTCAGGTTTCATGCACTGACTTTACTTCCATTTCCCTGGTTCTGGCTGGATGCAAAATACCCCGAGATTTTCATCCTCAGGCTCGCTGTCTCCACCTCACATCCCCTCCCTCGTCTCCCGTGGTTGGTCCTTCTCCATCGTGGCCCAGCATCTTCTCACTACTCTTCCCCTCTCTCTCTCTTTCTCTCTCTCCTTATTCTTTGTTGATATTCTACATTTTGACATCAAACTGAAAGTTTTAGAGTTAAATTTTAACGTGATCTTGGACACTCAGATCCCCTCAAGCAGAACGCTGGTACTGAATCTTGTTCCCAATGCCAGAATGTGTTCGATTTTATTCGATCAGACGCTTAAGTTGTATCATATCAATACTGTCCATTTGGTTGGAGTACCTTACCCAATTATCATTATATTTAAGTTTTTTTAATTCTAAAATTTCTTTCATATATTTTTATTCTCTTTAGAAATATCTTTTCTTCCTGTACAAGTTATAAAAGAACAGAAAGTATGAAAGAAAAAATAACAGAAATTGTTCATAAATCCATCATCCTAAGATTATGACTTTTATACATTTTGGTAAATTTGCATTTTAAGAAATTTTAATTTATACTTAAATATACCATTTGTATAGCTGAGATTATACAGCATGTAGTTTCTACATTTTTATCTACTTAAAATCATAATAAAAGCATTTGACAAGTCATTCAAATTTTAACGTTTTAAAATATTCATAGTGTTCCAGCTCCTGGTTGTGCTACAGGTGACATGCCTAATTACTTATTGTTGGATATTTAAGTTGTGTCCAATTTAAATAGTCATCATTATAAGTAATTCTGCAGTGGCCATATCATTATACTTTATATCTTCCAATTAAAACAACTTTTTTTAAATTTGAGAAACTTTTTTAAATTTAATTTTTTTTAATTTGAGAAACAAATTAAATTTGTTGTAACATTTCCATGAAATAAGTAGGGCATTTTGGCAGAAGTGTTTTAGTAAAACTGAAGTCAGTTTGCACAGTCAGGGCCACTCCCATCAGTTCCTTGGAGTTCGCACACCAGCAGAGCCCACCCGAGCTAAGGCTGAGGGACCCTCAGACTGGGAGTCCTGTCAGAGCTCAGATTTTGCAAGTGGATGGAGGTCCTATCCTCAACTGAGCTGCTCCTGGGCCTCAGTTTCTGCAACTGAAAAGTGGGAGGATGGAGAAGAAGAGCTGTGAGGGCTTTCTCAGCTCTGATAGCCCAGGGTTCCAAGCCCTACACTCACAGAGAGGTTGGGGAACTGCCAGAAGACCTGGCTTCTCATACCAGCAGTGCCACTAACCTCTCTTAGTTTCTTCTTCTTCTTTCTTTTTAAACAATTGTTGACCTATTTTATTTTTTTATTTTTAAATCTTTTAAAAATTTTTATTTTATATTGGAGAACAGTTGATTAACAACGTTGTGTTAGTTTCAGGTGTACAGCAAAGCGATTTAGTTATATACATATACGTGTATCTATTCTTTTTCAAATTCTTTTCCCATTTGGGTTATTACAGGATATTGAGCAGAGTTCCCTGTGCTATACTGTAAGTCCCTGTTGGTTGTCTATTTTAAATATAGTGCTATGTATATGTCAATCCCAAACTCCCAATTTATCCCCTGCAAACAAATAAGTTTGTTTTCTACGTCTGTGCTTCATCTGTACAGTGAGAGTAATAGATGCTTCACCTTCCACACAAGATCCTGTGAATAAAATGAATTCAGTCAAACTTGTTGAGTGTCTACCATATGATCATGGTGAAAATTCCCGTGAATTATAAAAATCACAAGGAATTATTTTTAATTCAGTCAAACCTGAGTACGATAAAATGCAGCTCCTAAGTTTGATGAGTTGTGACAGTCATACCTACCTGTGTAGTTATCACCCCAAACAAGACAGAAATATTTCCTTCATCCCAGAAAGATTCCTCCTGCCATTTCTCAGTCAATCCCTCTCCTTCCTCAAAGGCAAACGATGTTCTGATTTCTATCTCCGTGGATTGGTTTTGTCTGATCTTGGAATTCATATCAATACAGTCAGCCAGCATTACTTCCACACAACATAGCATTCATGTATCATTCAGGGAAGGTAAAACCTTTTGTACATTTTTAAATTGGTGTTGTTTCCCTTCATTGTTGATGTGTGGAAATAATTTCTATATTCTGGATACAAGTTCCTTTTCAGAGAGATGTAAGGTGAGAATTTCCTAGGCTTTTACTTATTCATTTTTCAATGGTATTACTGATTGGCAGACATTTACAATTTTGATGACATCCAATTTATCAAATTTTCTTACAAGGTCAGTGCTTTCTGTGTCCTGAAATTTTTTTTTGCTTGTTCCAAGGTCATGGAGATATTCGCCTATGTATTTATATAAACTGATGATGGTTCCAGCTTTTATGTTTAAGTCTATGGTCCATTGTGAATTAATATTTGTATATAGAATGAGGTAAAGGTCAAGGCTCTTTTCTCCTTTCCCCATAGAGATACCAGTTATTTCAGCGACATTTGTGAAAGGCTTTTCATTCCCTATTGAACTGACATGGTGCCTTGGTCAAATATTTATAGACTATATATATATGGGTCTATTCTTCTCCTCTCTTTTATTTTCTACTTATATGCTCGTGCAAATATCACACTGCCAAGATTACTATTGCCTTATTATAAACCAAGTCAGTGTAATTCCTCTAACTTTGTTCTTTGTTTTTCAAGATTGCTCTGACTATTGTAGATCGTTTGCAATTTCATATAAATTTTGGAAACTGTTTCTCAATTTCTTTGAAAATTCCTCCTGTGATTTGGATAGACTTTATAACCTACAGAGTCTAAAACTGTATAGACTCTATAAACTCTCCAGTTTGTGGAGAACAGATATCTTAACAATGAGTTTCCCAATTCATGAACAAGGTATAGCCCTCCATTCACTGAGGTCTTTCATCTCTCCCAGTAATATCTTGTAGATTTTATAGTAGATACCTTGTACATCTTTCAAACAATTTCTCCTTTGGTATTTGATTTTTTATGCTATTCTAAGTGGTTCATTTTTTTTAAACAAAGTTCATTTTTTCATATTTCTATTACTAGTATATGGAATTACAACTGATTTTTGTATATTTACCTTGTATTCCATGGTCTTGCTAAACTCAGTTATTGATTCCAACAGGCTTTATTTGTAGATTTCAAAGGGTGATCTACATAAAATGATGCCCTCTGTCAAAACCAGTAGTTTTATTTCTTCCTTTCCAATATTTATGCCTTGTATTTTTATTTCGAGACGATTTCAGTTACAAACATCCTCATCTTGTTCCCCATCCTAGGAAAACGCCAAGTGTTTCACTATTTATTAAGAAGTTACTTGTAGCTTTCTTATAGGTGCTCTTCATCAGATTAAGAATGGTCCCTTCTAAACACAAAAGACCCCAAACAGCCAAAGCAATCTTGAGAAAGAAAAACGGAGCTGGAGGAATCAGGCTCCCAGACTTCAGACCATACTACAAAGCTACAGTAATCAAGACAGTATGGTACTGGCACAAAAACAGAAATATAGATCAATGGAACAGGATAGAAAGCCCAGAGATAAACCCACACACATATGGTCACCTTATCTTTGATAAAGGAGGCAAGAATATACAATGGAGAAAAGACAGCCTCTTCAATAAGTGGTGCTGGGAAAACTGCACAGCTACATGTAAAAGAATGAAATTAGAACACTCTCCAACACCATACACAAAAATAAACTCAAAATGGATTAGAGACCTAAATGTAAGGCCAGACACTATCAAATTCTTAGAGGAAAACATAGGCAGAACACTCTATGACATAAATCACAGCAAGATCCTTTTTGACCCACCTCCTAGAGAAATGGAAATAGAAACAAAAATAAACAAATGGGACCTATTGAAACTTAAAAGCTTTTGCACAGCAAAGGAAACCATAAACAAGACAAAAAGACAACCCTCAGAATGGGAGAAAATATTTGCAAATGAAGCAACTGACAAAGGATTAATCTCCAAAATATACAAGCAACTCAGGCAGCTCAATATCAAAAAAACAAACAACCCAATCCAAAATGGGCAGAAGACCTAAATAGACATTTCTCCAGAGAAGATATACAGATTGCCAACAAACACATGAAAGGATGCTCAACATCACTAATCATTAGAGAAATGCAAATCAAAACTACAGTGAGGTATCACCTCACACCAGTCAGATGGCCATCATCAAAAAATCTGCAAACAATAAATGCTGGAGAGGGTGTGGAGAAAAGGGAACCCTTTTGCACTGTTGGTGGGAATGTAAATTGATACAGCCACTATGGAGAACAATATGGAGGTTCCTTAAAAAACTAAAAATAGAACTACCATATGACCCAGCAATCCCACTACTGGGCATATACCCTGAGAAAACCATAATTCAAAAAGAGTCATCGGGGCTTCCCTGGTAGCGCAGTGGTTGAGAGTCCGCCTGCCGATGCAGGGGACGCGGGTTCGTGCCCCGGTCCGGGAGGTTCCCACATGCCGTGGAGCGGCTGGGCCAGTGAGCCATGGCTGCTGGGCCTGTGCGTCTGGAGCCTGTGCTCCACAACGGAAGAGGCCACAACAGTGAGAGGCCCAAGTACCGCAAAAAAAAAAAGAGTCATGTACCACAATGTTCATTGCAGCTCTATTTACAATAGCCAGGACATGGAAGCAACCTAAGTGTCCATCGACAGATGAATGGATAAAGAAGATGTGGCACATGGGTACAGTGGAATATTACTCAGCCATAAAAAGAAACGAAACTGAGTTATTTGTAGTGAGGTGGATGGACCTAGAGTCTGTCATACAGAGTGAAGTAAGTCAGAAAGAGAAAAACAAATATCGTGTATTAACACATATATATGGAATCTAAAAAAAAAAAAAGGTCATGAAGAACCTAGGGGCAGGACAGGAATAAAGACACAGACGTAGAGAATGGACTTGAGGGGAGGGGGAAGGGTAAGCTGGGACGAAGTGATAGAGTGGCATGGACATATATACACTACCAAATGTAAAATAGATAGCTAGTGGGAAGCAGCCGCATAGCACAGGGAGATCAGCTCGGTGCTTTGTGACCACCTAGAGGGGTGGGATAGGGAGGGTGGGAGGGAGACGTGAGAGGGAAGAGATATGGGGATATATGTATAGCTGATTCAGTTTGTTATACAGCCGAAACTAACACACAATTGTAAAGCAATTATACTCTAATAAAGATGTTAAAAAAAAGAATGGTCCTTTCTATTCTCAGTTTCTCAGGTGTTATTAATCAAGAAAGGGTATTGACGAGTGCAAAATGCTTTTTAATTGCATTTACTGAGATACTTATACGATTTTTCTCTTTTATTATGTGGTGAATGACTTTGATTGGATAAAAAGAATGAAATTCATTCTCATTAAACCTTTTCGCTGCCTGCTGTGGGTTTCATTTTTCATTTTTGTTTGAAAGGTCCAATCACAGACCAGTCTAAAAATGTATCCTGAGTTCCACCACACCATAAAAACTTATTAACACGCTTTCTCCACTGGCCTCCTTTTCTTCTAACCAATTTAAAATCTCAATTTAACACCTCTGCGCCCCTCTTCTACTTCCCAATGGCGAACCACCCACCCCTCAGGTTAAGCAGAAGGCGTTAGGACGGAGCCAGGACCCCAGGGCTGGAACCACAAGTCCTCCGCACCTTTGGTTGGCCTCGGGGAGCCGCCCGGTGGCGTTGGGACGACTCCTCGGCCTCCGTTGTGGCCCCAGCCGGCCCCAGCCCCTTCCCCTAAGCGCAGGTGCTGCCCCTCGGCCAGGCCGGGGCTGACAACCTCCTCACCTGGCCCTGGTGCCGGGTGCCCCGCCGCCCGGAGGGTGCGTAGGAGCCGCCCAGGCCCGCCCCCTCCTGGCCCCGCGGCTCGCCCGGCCACCGCCCACGGCCCGCCAGCTCCCG